CCTTCCTCTCTCTATATATACCTTTTAATCATATCCTTTGAATCCCTCCTTACTCCGATCCCTTGTGAGCTACTGTTGAGGTGTCACACTCTGATGCAGACAGTTACGGGGCTCACTTTTCTCTTCCTTTCCCTTTGATAATCACATAAGAAGAACAGAAATATACGGTAAATAAAGGTTCTTGGTATCGGCTCTGGCTCCTACCCTGGTATTCTCCCCGAGACCCGGCTGGCTCCGGTCAGGGGACATTCCCCCAGCCGCTACAACATCGATACGAATGTGCATAAATACCCACCTGTGTTCTGTCTAACAAAAGAAAACTCGTTCTAAAACCTGTTCATGTAATACCTGCCCGTAGATGCCTCTACAACACACAGACCACTAAACAGAATAGCACGAAGTATCTCTGAACGGCTTACTTGACTTCTACCATTCACCAAGTGCACTTAAGTGAGCTTCCATTAATATTCTTAGTCGATCCATAACATATTCCACTGGGGCCACGCAAGCCATGTAATTATCAAATGTAGATGTAGCTATATGTCTGCCTCACATGCTTCTCAACCCGTACAGCTGTCAACGCGATCTTTTTTTTTTTGGCCCTCCTTTGCAGTATTCATGCATTGCCTTCCTCCACGCGACATCGTTTTTCTCCAATGCTTGAGGCATCAGACAGCATCCTATTCAAGGCCGGTTTTTTAAAAAGCGGTCTTTGTCGGGCGAAAACATGATTACGTGCCGAGACACTGGCTTGATAAATTCGGAGTGAGCTCTGCACTGTTTACTAACTTGATTCGATCATGATTATTACCTGTATATAGCACCTTCAGGTTCAGAGCTGCATTAGCAATTCTACTCTCATGTTCTTACTGTGAAGTGCGACTTTGTGTACACGTGCTCTTCTCTCTCTCTCTCTCCATCTTTCAAACTCCCTTATCGCTTTCGCCAGTGTAGGATAGCATACCGTTCCTTTTAGGCTGGATGCATCCCCGACTTTCCTTTCTCTCCTGTTTCTTTCTTTTCTAACACTCCACTTTTACCGATCACCTCAACCAACGTTTCTTGAACTACCTGGTTCTAGGAGCATTGGTTCACCCCGGTCTACATTCTCCACATTGTATCAGACCACCAGGCGCCTTTTCGCTGTTCCCCTTTTCTTGTGCAGTTGCCTCCGACTCTTTTGCAGTAGAGCGTACCCAACTTGGGAATTAGTTCTACGGCCACGGGCCCGCCCGAGCAACTGTGCCTGATACTCCGGACGAGTCTTGTTTTGTCGGCCAAGGAAGCCCCAAACGTCCAGATAAAGATTACCTGCAGATGAAGTGAATCAAGTTTTATCCACCCGGTTCTCTTTTGATTCGCGTCAACAAAATTCTCATTGTCTCTTCATGGACGGTTCACTGAAAGTCGGGCTAGGTGGTATAGAATAATAGTTGACTGCAGTGCGTGGCAGAAATGCAACGGACACACAGGCATGCGCCATGCGCGTTTAATCTGGCCTTTGTGAGTTGTCCTTCCGTCAGGCTGTGTTTAATTAAAGAACACGGAAGTGTTCCTTCTGATGGCGGTTGCAGTCGGCCATCCGGAGCACTTCGGAGTACCAAACGTCTCAACCTCCTCCAGCTCGTCCTAACTCGGCGCTCAGTTTCTACCGGCTCAAGCCGGACGTGAGTGAGCATAATCATTACCAGAGACGACGACTGCGTACACACGGCTCCACTCGGGCGGCGTGTGGACGGCGCGAAATTATCGCGCGAACTTTGTGATGCACCCGCGCGGCTCGGTGTCACGTCCGTATTTGCTTATCGCCTTGGTTGTTGTCCACAAAATGCCGCCGCCTCTTCGTCGTCCAGAAAAGAAAAATTAAGATAGAAACGTTCTTTTTACCACGCGATACGTGAGCACGCAGGGATCGAGTGCCAAGAAAGGGACAGATTTAGGCGCGACTTGCTTTTTCCGCAGAGATAACGGGACGTGCATGATTGTGCCCTAACTCTCACCCTTCGCCTTGAAGGTGGCAAAGAACAATGCACTGAATCCAGACACAATACTCTAACCTCTCAAAAAACACTACAGAACGAAAATGCGTAAAATATAGGAAATGCTATGGTTGCTGACGGGTATATTTATATCTTGTATGCATACGGACATTTGTGCGTTGATGCTCTTCTAGCTGGACATAGTTCATGGTCACCGGACCATCTGGTATTGTTTTTCTGGGGTTGATGTGCGAGTTCGCACCCGATATTGTAGTGTTGCCAAACCACGCACAGAGGGAACCACAAATTTGCGTGCTAGAACATAAATGCATCAAATAATTGCACACAAAAAATAAAGAATACCTGTTTGTTAAAGCGCTTGTCTAGATCTGATACGTTTGCAGACCTTTATGCTTTATGTTTATGCTTTATGTTTAATTGTTGTTTCCTTGTTGATGTTCTACTGGCCATAGTTTATGGTCACCAGATCATCTGTTATTGTTCTGCTGGGGTTTAAGTGCGAGTTCACAACTGATGTTGTAGTGTTGCCAAACAACACACAGAAACAACCATGCATGCTTTTACGTGCTAGACAGAATATGTATTTAGTAATTACATGCACTATATGTGGTTAATAAGCGCTTGTTCAGACCTGGCACGTATACTGACCCTTACAATCTTCTGGTAATCGTTCATGGCTACCGTACCATCTTTCATTGCCATTTTCGCAGGGTTAAATCAATAGTACAGCCAGAATTTTTTTTTGTGTGTGTGAGGCGGGAGCAGGTCAGGGGGTCTTCAGGTAAATTTATGCATGTTCGTGCGTGCTTTTTCAATTCCGGCGTGTTATTTACACACGCGAAATTGAAAAGTTTTGGGGAAGGGGAGATTCCTCCGAAACCCCTCTCTCCCTAGCCACGCCAGTGATTGAAGTACATGTCTACAACCAACGTTGCGGTGCTCCCAAACCCCACCTAGAGTCAATCATTGTACGGAAGATAAATGCATAAAATTATCCAAGGAACGACATCTGCTCACAAAAGCGTACACATATGTTTAGATCATTATGTCCAGATGCTCTTCTGGTTATACTTGATGTCACTGGTTTTTTTAAGTGTTGTAGCTTTTTCGAACCTCAAAAAAATGCCACTTTGCTCTTGAAGGCTAGCTCACGCATGCTATATACTGATTTACGGTATTATCATTATTCTTAGTAATACATAAAATCCGTGGCGAACATAATCAAATAAAACACGAACAGCTAGAACACATGATCCAAACACTGACGTAGAGAATGATCGCTTATAGCGAACTATTTATGAACATTGGTTGGTTACGCTATACTTTTGCGACATTCATTTATATAACAAGTCGAGAACGCGAGAACGCCTGTGATATCAGCTGCAGCGCTGACACAAACATGCGAAGGTATCCTTGATTTCGTTTTTTTTCATAGCTCTTTTTAAGTGATTGCAGTCACTGGATGTAAAACTTGTCTCAGGTAGTCCCGCGAGAGGGTTGTTTTATTGCCGACTTAGAAACAGCGAGAACAACAGCTTGTCGTGAGAATCCATCCATCAACTTGAGAAGAGCAGCAGCGATAGCTACGCTCTCTTCAACTGTCGAAGTGACCAGGTAGTCTAAGCGGGACTATGCCACTGAAACAGGTGGGATTCAATATGCCACAGCACAGCTGTTTATAGTGATGAAATAATCTGTGAATAAATGGGCATGAGTAGATTACATGGGCTCCGAGGGCTCGAGCACCAGGCGATGCATGCTTCAGGAAGAAGGGATCGTTCGCATGGATTGTTATCGAGCATCCGAGGTGCGGGTCACCTTATTGTCTTCTGCCGAGTCTTTCGACACCCAAGTATGTATCGCAGCAGAAAAATTCGGTCTTTGCAAGATGCTGAGTTTTCTGAAGGGTTCCCTCAGTCGTAGATACTAGAGCAGTAGATCTTGAGAGGCCAGAATAAGTGATAAATAAGGAATGGGCCATTTAAGTCTTTTTTTTTCGGCTTTTGCCCTCAGCTCGGCATTACAAGAGGGCTTACCGAGTCAACCATGCTGCATAGACTAAGAACAGAATCTACCATGGTTGTTTAAGGTAAAGGGTGCTTTTTTCTAATGTGGTACTAAGTGCAATGACGTCGGGGTCTTGCATCTGGTCCAGCAAGTGTTTTTGTTTCGAAAGGAATTACTCATGGACAGAATCATGGACGTACCGCCGCGAGTGCTGTGAACAGATTGCGTTTCCATAAGGTTTCCATGCCGTTTGTACTCTCAACGGCACACGTGGACCTCGGCCAAGGGTGCCCGGAGAGCGGAAACAAAAACAGACACGGACACCGAAAACACGTTTTCCTCAGTCAACGCCGGTTCGCTAGGCACCACCGCCACGGAAAAGCGCGACTTTCGATCGCGCATTCGCTCGCCACGACAAGCCGGTTGGTTCAATGCCTATACATTCGCGTGTTTCCCGCTCGTTTTTCTTACCCCGCAACCTTGCCTGCCCCCAAGACGCGGACGTCGTCGGCGGTAGCGCTACGCCCGTTTGGTGGGATGGTCGGTCGCCTCGATCAGACCGACGGGGTCGATCATGTCGCGAGCACGTGCTCCTACCCGGCCAGACTGCCGCGACATTCTTTCCTCCGCAATGACCCTCTCACGACGCGCACCCGTGCACCGCAAGAGACCCTTATCTTTCCTCGACACCGTCCCCTCACCCACTTTCTATCGCTTTTATGTTTTCCGCTGGCCAGCCAGTGTAAACGAGGCATGAAGCCAAGCTCAGCTTCACTTTTCTCTTTCTCCCACCTGCCTCTCTGAAAGGTCTCAGACCGTCTCCTCACCAGCTGGCTCCGACGGCACCGGCGAGGGAACCTCGGGCGACCTCGCAGCCCGAACCGATTCCGCGGAGAGTGTCAGAGATAACACGCCCTCTCCTCGTCCACTCTCTCTGGATCTGCCCGGCGACCGCGCTTGCGTCGTAGTAGAAGATTCTCCGCGACTCCTACAGTAGCGCCACCGCCCCTTAAAAACTAGAGACCCCGCTGCGGCCCGCGCCAGAATAGACCATCGGTGACGTGTGACGCTGTCGCGTTGAAGGCCGTGCATCCTCACGAAAGGACCTCTGAGCTCGGACTATAGTAGACCTGCTGTTGCTAAACCAGACGGAATCTTTCTGTGGTCCATTCTGAGAGATAGACCTCTAAACGCGCTTTTGCGTCTTCGTTAAAGCTTCCCCCTCTCCCATCTTCAGTGCCGTACGGCTTGTCCGCCGAGCAGCGGCCAAGCGATCACATCGGTGCCAAGACGAGTGCGCGAACGATGACCTCGATGTTCCAGACGCGACTGACCATGGCGCCCTCACCGACGCCTTCCCACTCCAAGAGGTTGGACAAGAAGAAGTTCACGCACGTCTCCAGTGAGGTGAGCCGAGTCTTCCATTCGTGTGCAGTGGCGTAGCCAAGGGGCAGCACACCGGGTCGTCCGTGCACTACACCCCACCTCCAATTTTTTTTTCGCCATGGCAAAAAGGCCACAAAAAGGCCCGGCCCCCATTTCAGATCGAAGAGGGCCCCCTCCGCCCTGAAAAAAAGTCTGCCAACCTCCTGTCCACGTATTGTACGGTGTTCGCGACGAGGGGCTGTGTTTGTTGTCAATGGGACATTTTTTCAGAACTCAGCACGCCTGTGCAACTTGAGTCTTGCGACTCCAAGCGGTATGGGGCATCGAATGATTGCTTCTCTTTCTACCCCTTATCATTGTGGAGACATATTGAAGGAGAGGTTGTGCTGCGACGTCGCAGCCGGCAGCTGGACGCCGTAGTTGTCGAGTCATCACGGCACGGTTGTTTCTGCAAAAGGCCCGCCCTCTCTCAAGGGAGTCTAATAGGGTAGCGCGTTTCGACCCTTGACCCAAATAACTTATATGAGCCTGTTGATAAGCAGCTACCTTGATGTTTCTGCTCAGACTAGGGCACTCCATAGGGGGCGCTTAAGGGCAAATCCTCTGCCGGTTCACTTGACTGCTGAACTTGTTTGTCTTTGACTCTTTGCACGTGATCATCATTTGGTATTGAGCGTGTCTATGAAAGACCAAGGGGAGATTAACATCTACCCTGTCTATGTATGAAGAGCTTTACTTTGGTAAGCTAAGCCGATAATGTCTACAAGACGTAAAAAAAAGGCCATAGAAGTGTTGGTGTCCGGGCGAAGTTATACGTGTGTAACGACTTAATACTTAATGACTTGTGCCTTTCGTGTAAGACTCAGCAGCCGGACGACTGAAACACGGTTGTCTCATGTACACACCAATAACGTGCTTAAGTCTGTCACTTCCCACGTTGTAGTGGGACATTGAAAACTCCTGTTGCTAAATGGCTGAATATTTTTTCCCTGCAAACTTGAAGTACAACAGTCGAGCTTTTAGCTTATTTTAGCTTGAAAAAGTTTTCTGACTTGCTGTCCCTGAGGTCACAAAGTGCGTATTTGCGTGGCTCAAGATGCTTGTCTTATCTGGATTATCAACAAACCTTCAGATGTCCACGTATAAAAGACACGCTCGTTAGTTAGTTTACTTTATGTTTTTGCAAGCTGTGTAATTACTTTGGGGTAGCTGTTGTTTTTCCTATAGCCATTACTCATCGAATTACCTAGAAAATGTAAGAATTGCAGAATGATTGTGCTAGTATGCAGTGGCCCAAACTCGGAAAATTTTTCAACACGAAACATGCCAGTGGAAAGAGAGTAAGATTCCGTAAATATACTGTCACAGTGTGCTTTCGAAAAAAAAAACACCTCTTGTTTTGACACACGTTGTGACATCATTACCGTGATTGGTGTATCTTTGTTGTTGACTTTCAACGACTCGTCTCTTGACTACAGTGGAATCAGTGCACACAGTCTTACGAGCAGTTATACCCTCCAAAATCAACTATGACACATGCGCAAAATAAAAAAAAAAACTCTTGAGTTCTTTACTGAATCTTGACGAAACGAGCCTCAAGGCATGTAAAGTATGTCAATTTTACTTGTAATAGTTGAAAGGACCATCAACAATCCACGAAAGTCCAGCAGTTCCCGCTGGGGTGCATTCCCGCCAACTTGAAGCTTGCGTACGAGTCTTCTCTTCGTGAAGCTAAAAAAAATTTAGTTGGCACCTTCTATTCACCTTCAATTGGCCTTCAAGTTGGCACCTTCAATTCTAATTGGCATTTTAGTTGGCACCAGACTTGAACAATCGCGCCACCATCTCGCCCATCCTGCTGGCGTGCGCGCTCGCCGTGCGCTCGCTTTCAGCAGCGGCTGGACTGAGAAGTGGAACTTCGGTTGTGGAGAGGGTCAGTGCATCAGCTGCAAAAGTTGTGCGATGGCGACGACGACTGCTACGACAACGCGGACGAGCGCGCGTGCACTGCCGACGTGCTCGTGTGTCCCCCGTGCAGCTTCGCCTGCCACAACCAGGCGCACTGCGTGAAGCCCTCGAGGTTTGCGATGGAGCATACGAATTCCGTGATGGCTCTGACGAGAAGAACTGCCCCGAAGCCCGATCTGCGGCGCTAAACCGCAGCTTGCTTACGAGGCCACATCCGATTCTCTGGATTCCGTGCCGATCGGTTGTGCCCTCGCGATCTCCGACGTCAGCGTAGCCCTGGCCGACTGGGCTGGCCCTACGTCATCTCCGGACGCCGATCTTCAACGACCGCGTAGCTCTGACCTACTGGACTTGCCCTACGCCATCTCCAGACGCCGACAAGACCTCTTGCAAGTGGTGCCCCGTCCTCGGACTCCTGTGACCGTGTTTCATCTTTCATATCTCTCTTATGTCGTCGGTCACTGTCCTTGCACATCTCTCTCTCTCTCTCTCTCTTTGTATACCTTTAACCCTATCCTTTTAATCCCTCCTCACCTCCATCCCTTGTGAGCTACTGTTGAGGTGTCGCACGCTGATGCAGACAGTTACGGAGCTCACTTTTCTTTTCCCTCTTATAACCACATATCACTCTCGGCAGCGCTATCGGCTGACACCGCCTTTCCAGAGACCACTATCATCGGCGACGGCGGCTTCTCGTGCCTGGATGGTCGATGCATGTCTGCAGTCCAAGTGTGTGACGGAGTGAGAGACTGCATAGATGGCGCTCACGGGGGTCGTTTCTGCCAGCTTGTCCGGCACGGGAACTACCAGCCGCAAGAGCACCGGCAGCACCGACGCGGCTCGCTAGTGGACGTCCACGTGGTCTTTAGCGCGTTGTTCCAGCAGTTGCTGAATCCGCACAATATAACGAGCGAGGAATGAAGAAGATAAGTCCTACGACACCACCATTGTACTGTAACCACAGCTATATACCGGCGCGTCAGAAAATGTCTCCTGCTTGTGTTCTGGCTACTACAACTATATATATATATATATATATATATATATATATATATATATATATATATATATATATATATATATATATATATATATATATATATATATATATATATCCAAGAATCTTTCTGGTCACTCGGCAATGGTTGCTTTTCACGTGGATGCCTCTAATATTCGCGCTTAAAATTTGACGCATTCTTGCGGCTTTATTTTGGGTGTTTTGTTAACTTATTTTGCCGAAATTTTCGGAGGAATCTTATTATTTCTAAACGCAGAACGCAATGACTGTGCACCCACAGGAACGTTCACTGGCTCAATGCCGCCCTTATATATTTCACTGCGAATGGTCTTTCTGTAAAGCAAGCACGCCAATCGAGGCCAGTAGGACGTGATGTAGTCAGATCAGTTGACTTGCCTTGATTGTCGCGCAGTTTCACGCGAGCCGCTTGTAGCTGCCGCATACCAGCGCCTCTGTACCCTCCCGTAACTTTTATGGGAAGCTCTGCTTGTTAGAAATCCGTGGTAGCTCGTCAAATACGGCTGACGGTTAGGTGGCTCATGCTCTTCTACTCCAGTGTTCTGCGCAAGTGGGTCATCGTTGTGAATGAACCATTACACTGATTAATCAGTGAAGTATGATTCATTTTTCTACGGTACTTAACAGCATCGAATCCTATAACGTTCGGAGGTTTCAACGAATTTTCGCTTTTTTTTTTTGCATTCTGGAGTTGCTAAATGTCCTCTTCGTGAAGACTGTCAATTCACTGAATGCTTGTATGTTCGCGGGAAGCCCAGCCTTCCATAAAAAGTTCGATTACCAGGGATGTTTGATGGAATGCGTATCCAACTGTTGACGAAATTAATAACCACTGATATTACCAATAATAAACCACTAATAATAATAGTAACCACTGATGGTAAATGAAGCGCATGTGAGCAATTTGGCAGCTGTATTATTTGTATTTGAGGTGTTTTAGAATTACTGGACGCTTCTAGTTGAGAAAGAGCGCGGTGTCTTCTTTATTATCTGCATACTGGACCCATCTATAGTGACCGAAATTTTCTGATTAAGCGACACCAATAGGCAAAGCTTTTCTTTGAAAACAGCCGTGGTATGGATGAAATGGCAGAGGCAATCCTTCGCGATTTGTGCAAACCGTGGTGTGCTTATAGCTATGGCTTTCTGCGTGTGAAAACAGTAACTGAGTTGACCCGCTTATCAATACCACTTTTGATCGACCGCTCCGATGGGCACCGAATATTTGCAGGTTTCACCGACTTTGTACACCAGCTATCATTACCGCATAGAGATGCTGAACTTCTGAACCATGTTATAGGTGGCTGTTCCGATATCTAAGGTTACTTTAGCAATTTCAAATTATGGTGTGTTGTCAATCTTTGTATTGATTATTCTGCGAGGCCCAGCGTTCATTAACTAGGCGTTATCGCGGCTAATATTCGGCGATGTCACACGAATAATATGAACTGAGAGCGTGCAGAAGTTTTGAGACGACTTCAGAATAACGCGCTTTTGAAGTATTCACAGCAGTGGTTTCAGCCGTGAATACTTAGGGGACTTGTTGTGAACTGGTGCAAGTGATGATGGAACCGTCGCAATAAGAGAAAGGGGGAGGGTGACAAATTAACACAGCATGCAGGGTGAAATGATAGGTGCCTTTTATTTATTTCTTTCGAAGATTGGTCAAACTAAAGTGCCACGCCAGTTCGATCTACAAAACTTCTCAATAAGTTGTGCGGTGATGGTAGTAGTGGTATGTTTTCGCAGGTGGGGTTACACCCCTGTCACACGTGGAAACTTAGGTGCAGTTCGAGCGAGTACACTTAGCCTCGATGGTCATTTTGCGCGCTGTCACACGTTTAGTGTCACTCGCTACAAAGTACACTTACCGGCAAGTGCGTTCCCCAACCTCACTTCGCTTCAACAAAAGACGACACAGAACAAAACGACGACACAGAGACAAGAAGGACACCGACAAGAAGGACACCGACAAGAAGGTCACCCACAAGAAGGTCACCGACAAGAAGGACACCGACAAGACAAGAAGGTCGTCGTTTTGTTCTCGCGCTATAACTATTGTCATGCCATACCAACTAGCCCAAGCTGCCACACTTCTAATTCACTCCGCTGCGACGAAGTGTGTAGCCTCAATGCCAGTGGCTTGCACAGAATAGTCTGTTGCTTAAAACGACACTCATGCCACTTTTGAACTATTGTTTTCGTTATAACGGATACCGATATGTATTAAAAAAGTGATAAATTAACAAAAATCCTTGCTTCTCTTACCCTCGGCCAGTTTGCGGCCACGTCCGCTAGGGGGCAGCACATACCGTGCAATGGCTGCGTCCGTCGCGTTGTTTACGTCCAGGCACACTTGCACCTGTGTAGGCGGGTCGTTCTCTAGTCGTTTATGATGACGTGTGCCACTGGTGCCATTTCCACGAAGACAACGTGGTGGTCCGACGATGAGACGCGGGTGCGAAAGTAACAAATATATATTCCGCTACAAACAGACAATTGCCGCTGCCCTCGTTTCTAGAGTACACTTCGTTTTCTCGTGTAGCAGGCGAACCGCCGAAATGACACTGTGTGAGCGTAAGTACACTCGCTCGCAAAGTGCACCTAAGTTGCCACGTGTGACGGGGGTATTGGCCTAGCAGACCTGGCCGGAAACTGCTCCGCCTGTTTGACTCTGTCCGTGTAGTTCCGGTCGCCACACATCACTAATCTTGTCGGTTCTGCGGCCATAATCCGCATGTATTTGGCTTTTTTTGTTCTCTTGATATGTACGAGCGCAAAGAAAGTGTGCTCGTGTGCATGCGTTGTAGAAAACTGCAACAAAGGGTTTACCGACATTTCGCGGAGAAGGGGAAACGCAAGCCAGGTACGCCGCGGCACATGAATGTTATGCGGCCAAGCTTGCCAAATATTACCAGGGGCACTACTACACACTTTCAAATATGGCTTCGTGGGCCCCCATTTGTGAACCGCTGGTATATAGATATAATTTTTGAAGTCCTGAGCTGCAAAACGCACGTTTAATTGAAGTGAAACGTGTGAAACGGAAACAAATATCTACGATAAATGCTTTCTGACATGTAAAGATTTCTTCCCTTCACGCCGACGTAGAAACAGTGGCGTCCACTGAAAAAAAAGAACAAGAAGTAAAATTCAGCAAGAGATTGAAAGACATAATGAAATCATATCTGTTTATAAGAAATAAAAAAAAACATGTCACATAGCGAAGGAGATCTGCTCAATGGAAAGTACATTTAAAGTTTGTTTCGAACCATGGAATGATTAAAAAAAATATTCCGAGGCTAACCCCACGACCTCCCGCAAAATCCTCCGAGGATTTCATTTCGGAAATGAACATGCCTTGCAACTGCGTCCCCCATGGTGTGCTTTAATTGAGGCGGCCTTCTGCGCATTTTTTTTTTTTGCTCAGTTCATCCGCTTCGTCCTTTCCTGCATTGCGTTGCATCTCCGTCTTCTGGCCGATAAACCTCTTCACCGTTGTCTGCTGAGCCGCGACTGCGCAAACTTAAGCCGCTTTTTATCATTCCGAAACTATGCGCGGGACTCTCCTATTCGATCGCTGTAATCAGCTGCTAGGGCGACCCCTTGAGGAGTTATCCGCGTAGACGTCCTGCTGCGCGTTCTCACCCGCTTCAGACGTCGTCCGTAACCTCGTGCGTCTGGACGTCGCTTGCGATTCCTATTTGGCCCGAACGAAGCTCCGATAGTCTGCCAGTGTCGACACATCGTGCCCGCCGTGTGCGCGGGCCTGCCTTCACAGTGCTCTTGAAAGTCGCTCGCCAGGAGATTAGATTTCTTACTTCTACAACTTGCGTGACCCCTCGAGAATGATATATCGCGCCATCATCGTCCACATTGCGCTACCAGCGATGCTCGTTCTTTGCACGCCATATGAAATGGCCACAGGGCGGATCTCTTTCAGACCGGAACATGATTGCCATAGCAGTATACCCGTGGCATGGGTTTGCGATGGTCGAGACGACTGCATTGACGCGTCCGACGAGGAGAACTGCCCGTCAGTGACTACCGGTGCCGCGATGATCCCCGATCCGACAACGCGGGTGACAACGCCACTTGCTGCCGCAACATCTGAGGCCACGAACACCAACACGGTATCGCCTGCTCTCCATCGTTGCAACGTACAAGACGGTGGCTTTCCGTGCATGGACGGTCGGTGCCTGCTTCCGGTTCAAGTCTGCGACGGAGTCGGGGACTGTAGCGACGGCGCTGACGGGGGTCGATTCTGCCAGCTCGTTCGCCGCGGAAACCAAGAGCCACCGCAACAGCCACTGCCCCCGCAACAGCCACTGCCCCCGCAACAGCCACTGCCCCCGCAACAGCCACTGCCACAGCAACAGCCACAACAACCCCTGCCACAATCGCAGCAACCGCCACAGAATCCGCCACAGCAACGTCATGGCCTACGCGGCTGGTTAATAGACCTCCGGATGCAGTTCCGCATGCTCTTCCAGCCGTTGCAGGATTCCTCCAACCTAACGAGCCGGGAATGACGCGGAAGACACGTCACGCTACACCGCGTCAGGTGTTTCATACGTGGCATGTCCGAAGATCGATGCAGCGCTGCCCTGACGAGCTTTGCGGAAAAAATTTTAGAGCAAACTCTGGCACCGTGATTATCTGGCGCAGGCTACAGATGTGGTATGCGGATAAGTATAATCTCTGTGCTTAAAGTTTCAGACATAATTATATTTTAATATACTGCGATTTATGTAGCCTAATAACTTCTTGGTAACCGCAGAACATTTTTGTACATCGCACTACTCATATAGTGGAATTATGCTGATTAATAATGGCGTAAAACAATAGTATAAGATGTCTATATATGTGTTGCAGTAGTGTCGATATTGTGCGTGGAGTTATCAATGCGACCGATACTTATAGTAGTGTTCCTGTCGCAACTGTTTGTAGTGGCTGCTCAATGAGTTGAAGGTTCGACTGCCGACGACGTTGACTTGATATTCATTGAGTGGTTTTAATGCGAAATTTCTCGTGCGTTGCTGCATAATTCTGTGTTTAAAAATTAATAAAAAGGCAGCCAGAATTATACCACTGAGGTAATATCAACGCATGCATGTATTGCTTTATTTCATTTACTGTGCAAAAATGATCAAGCCCACCGTCAGTGAGAACCATAAGCGATTTCTGACGATTCAGTACCTTCCGGCACTGTAGACAAATGGCGTGACAGCAACGATGACTGCGGCAACACAAGTGCGAAGACGGGCGCACTCAAAGTCCAAGGTGGTGGTTCGATCGTGTTCTCTCCCGCCATTCAGGTTTTTTAGGGGCGAAGCTCCTTAGGGCGTGGGCTGTGCGTCCCCTGTAGCCTGTATGTAGCCACCTCTAGTTTAGTTCTTGCAGTGTTCACTAGATGGCGGTACGGTCCCCTGTATGTAGCCACCTCTAGTTTAGTTCTTGCAGTGTTCACTAGATGGCGGTACCGTCTCCTGTATGTAGCCACCTCTCGTTTAGTTCTTGTAGTGTTTACTAGATGGTGGTACTTGTAGCTGATGATGAAAAGATGCAAGATGTTATAAACTAGAAAGCGGTACTTGTAGTTGATGAAAGACGCGAGATCTTATAAAATAGGAATGATGTCACATATGGCGCGTGTCATTGGTTGAAGGCAATCGTTCGATTTAGTGCGGCGACGTACGCTAGGGGGAGCGTTGCAGTAAAATCGAGTGGGCAAAATGTACGGAGGATTCATGGTTTACCAGGTTTACCTCCGGAGCTTCGCCCACTCATCATCATTCACTTCGTGGATATGGCGGAATTTTTTTCTATTGTACGCAAAGCGAATCGGAAAATTATGCGCCACTCTCTGGATTGTGAAAAATAAAGCTGTTCTGACTTACCCGAACGTTCACTGACTGACTGACTGAGTGTTTATAAAACTCATTTTCCGTAATGCTTAGCAAACAAGAATTTTCGGACTCTTGATATGCCCAACTTCGCGCACGTATGCAAAATGCGAGTTGTACAGAAGCATCTCGACCGTCCATGTGCAGAGAAAAGAATGTTTAATGCGTGAATGCATTTGAGAGGCAAGTATAAAGCGGACTTATGCGTTTGCCAGTTCATTTACTGACCTCGTCAGAGGAGACTTGTACAGTTTCATTTCCGCAAAGGACATCATAAGAGCAATACGCAGAGGCGATGAAAATAATTGTGAATTCGTACAGAACGAGTAGCCGAATATTTTGTTCCTCTACTAGGAGTTCTGCAATCCAGCCTTTTTGGTTTTGGGACGTTAAACCCCACACAATAAATCAATCCAGTATTTTTCAGAAAGCCTTGCTCTCATCTTAATCGACGGGCACTGTGAGTCCGCTTTATAACGGGGCGGACAGCTGTGCGTGGATGGGCCTTATTGTTTGTTTTTTTGGCCTAGTGCAGTTTGCGTTTATATAGAGGATTTTTTTTTTCAAATGCACAGCTTAAACTTCTGCGTTTCATGGCGGATTGATCACGGTTTTCTAACCGTATTAACTATGTCCTTGCTTCCATACTATTTCGTCAGGGTCAATCCTTCAAGCGTCTTTTATTCATTCCTATCCTGGACATAACCATTCTAAAGATGTCCAAAATCGAAGGACATCGCGTGAGCTGGTGCCATAACCTCTACCCAGGTCGACATATTCAAATTAAGTGAAACCGTGCTTCTTCGTATAAGTGGCTTTCCCGTAGAGCAAGCTAATTTATCGAAGGCTTTACTGACCCTCACTTTAGAGAAGATTACGAGAAATCATGCCACGCTTTGCGCGTGCTGCGCTATTACTAAAGGACGCAAGCAAAGTCAGCATTAGCGAAGAATATATGACAATGTGCTTGCGACACATAACAACGAAAGACCAAGAAGAACGACGAATAGAAACGCTTACCTAACCGCATTGCAAGCACTATACAGTGAACGCGAGTTCAAGAAAGAAAATAAAGACACCGCAATCTACGTCGAACGAGACATCATGCGTGAAATGAGGCGGCTGAAAGATGTCACGGGAAGGGGCGCGTCGCTGGGTAAGATGCCGCTCGGTGGTCTGGGTCCGACGGGGAAGCAGCCGGCCTGCATCAGAGCCGCAGTGGGCAATGCAAGCGCACTAAAGTGGCCACGCGTACAGCTGGCACTCCAATGGCAGTGCCATATGTTTGAAAGGCTAAGATCTTCGCCACACTGAACCACTGACCGGTAAGGCCCCTGGCCCGCGGTTTGCGAAGTTCGTGGCAATGGCAGTCGAAGTGTTTAACGAGACCACTCTCCCAGCAGTTCTGCGAACACGTTGACCACAGATAACGGCGAGCCTTCTCGCGTGGTGAAGCGAGAGCTGGCAAGTCGAGGATCGCTTCAAGATACGGCGGCACAGTGATTCCCGAGTCGAGCAAGCGCATGCCAGATGAAGGCTCGGCAGAAGCCCGTACCGCCCACTGCTCCTGTGTAGCTCCTGTGTAGCTCGCTTTCGAGCGACCACTTCCCCGTATGTTCTGTGCCCTCATCAAGTTCCCTTTGATTCCGTTGTTCCGTTGTATAGCAGCCAACTGGACGTTTCATCCGTTCAACCACCTCGCCATTCATTCTCTCTAAGAATTCGATTCACGCCTTCTGATACATACATTTGCGCCCTTTTCAGAAACCACGCATCACATTTCTTCCACCGTTCCGAAACTATACCAATACCACGCTGCCATCACGTTTCTACGGCGGTTACGCGATCTTGTGCTTGTGTGGCCTTTTGTCAGGGTCCTGTTGAAATATCCCCTTTCTAGCTTTATCCTTGTCGGTCGGTAAAAGCTGCGCTGCAAAGTTAAGGACTAAAAAAAAAAAAGACTGGACTAACACCGACTAAGTGCGTGTACTTGACATTGTGTACTTCACAATGTCATCTATGCCACAGAGATTTCATCTAATGAACATCCAATTCCTTCTTTAAAGGTATGCTTTGAGCATCCCCTTCATAACAGGACAGTGGCATGTGCTCTGCAAAGCTCGTATTATTTATTTGGCTTAATTCGATGGAGGCGGAAATGATGTAGGCCCGTGTGCTCAGATTTCGGTGCACGTTAAAGAACCCACTGGTCGTCGAAAT